CAGTGACATGTTTCATGTTTCATGTAGGACCAGCTCTCCCAAGCTTTTCTGACATGCAACACAAGGGCCATCCCCCACGCAGGCCAGCAAAGATCGCCCTTGGTTCGCCCGCTGCTGCTGAAGCAGAGGAAGTATCTGCCTCATAAGTATTTAGCTGCCAGGCTGCCTGCCAGCATGCTAGCTGCAGTAAACAGTTCCAGACAGCAGCCTGGCTATAATTAAGAAACAGTAAAACGCACACCTAGAGAGGGCCAGGGCTACCACTTGAGATCAAAGACGGCCGGCCCTCAACGACAGGCTTTTAGATCAGGAAGCACTGGTTTGGAGAGCGTTTGATGTCGGGTTCTGTAGTCCTGCGTGTTTTGGATTTAGGCTGCAAACATGAGGAGGAACAAGAATCAGTGCTGCGAGGAACCAGGAGCTGGATAATCGAATGCAAACTTACTAAATAAACTCGATTCTGTTTCTCTGAATTTAACGTCCCACATTCTTACTTTTATTGTGGCGATTTTACAGTTTCCCGTTTATTTTGCTCTCTGGTGTGATGTAACACTGGGAATGAGAAGTTACAGTAAATGAGGTCATTGTGTAATAATGATGCCTGTGGAAACAAAAAGAGCAAGTATGTCTCAATAAGAGCCGTCTGAAATGCTTCAGTGGGAACATGCAACACTTCTGTTGTTTTACTGATTGACCTGAAAACATGTCCAAGTCTCTCCCGCCTTCATCTCTATAGTATCGTGTAACACGGCACTTCTTCTGTTGTTGTAACCGAGCTGATGGCTGCAGCTCAGAGTAAGTCAAATCTTTCTGTTTTTCCAACAGTTTAGAGATCCTGGTAAAAGAAAATCAACAGATTTGTAACCCAGATGTGGCAACGGGGTATGTTATCTTGAAATGCTGGAAAGCTGGAATATAAGGGGATAACAGGATGCTGAAGATAAGGTTCCTACCCTCATCCGTGCCTACAGACGGAGGATAGAGATTGAAGAGATAAGATTATGGACAGAAGTGGTGAAAATGAGCTTTCTGGGCTCAGCTTTAGAGATGGGACGAAGAGCTGAGTCATTCAGGAGGAGCTCAGAGCTGAGCTGATGCTCAACCACACTGAGAATGGCTGGCTGAGGTGGTTTGAACATCTCTGAGCATGGGATGGCTGAGGTGAGTTGGACACAGCATTCTGGACCAGGACACACTGGAGTGATTATGTTGCATCACCATAGACTGTTCTGGTGATCTCTGCTTAAACCGCGGCCTCTGGGACTGGATAAGCAGCAGATACTGGACGGACTAAAATGTATTGTCTGTTAAAGGAAACAATGAAGATTCGACCCGGTATTGTGCGTTATTTATGATGTTCATCTTTTTAATAACCTTTGATACTCTGACAGTAAAGCATGTGATCATAGAGCAGCAGCCGTCTAACTGACAAACCTTGATGGCTTTTGGCATCATGCGAGTGGCATCCCCCCCCCTCTCCAGGCCCGACTCTCCTGTAAGGCTGGACTATAAATGTCTCGGGGGGGAGACTCAGAGACACAGACTCTGCTGTGATGAACTGCTTCCTCCAGCTCCAATCAAAGGAAACGGCCAAATCCTGCAGCTCAGAGGATGAACTTAAAGGTCAGACTGGCTTTATCTTTGTCTTTAGACGTGCCCGTCGCTGCAGTCGGTTTATTTTTGGAGATTATGTTTAGAACTTCACAGAGAGTTCAGGAGCTTTTAAAGCATGCATAATTAATTTGGTGAAAATGATAACTACCAGAAAGAGGAAACAAAACCTGACTGCATATGTACTATTTTCTAATCGCAAAATTAAACATAGGGACTGGTCGTTTGCAATCACCATATTTAGAACCACAAAACAAAGCTTGGCCTTATTTTTGACCTCGATAATATCTTAAAATATTTAAAGTCACATATTTGTTGACAATTTACCATCGAGCATCTGACAGCCTGTCCACTTTTCCACCTGCCTCCTGCTCTCATCATTATTCCTCCGTTTGCATTAACAGTTAAACACACACACACACGTCAACTAGAAAACAACTAATAATCTGAATATTTTTAAAGCAAATAAATATTACGGGGAAAACGGAGGGGATCTACAATACACATACACAATGTGAAATTATTTACATAAAAAACCAAAGAATGAGGGCAAAGCAGAAGCTACCAGGGTGTGTTAACAATGTTGCCTTGGCTACCTGTCCACCTTCATGATTCTCGTCGTGTCACTCGCTTTCTGCCAACTACATCCTTCATATATGTATCTCTCTCCTTCTCTCCCTTCCCCGCTCCTTGGTGTTGTCAGCCAAAAGGCAAATATAGCAGCCCCGTCCCTATCAAATCCAAACATTGTTCTGGTTTCAATTTGGGTTTCTTCTGGTAACGCAGTCAAGCCAGTAATGAACAATCTCACTCAGTGTTTGCCATCAGAGGATTCAGGCACTGAAAGAAACGTACCCTTTTCACCTGAACGTTTCACTTCGGCGTGTATTAATGGACTCGGTCACTAGTTTCAAGTGTTACATAATAAATGAATGTCAGTCAAACAGTAACTTCACTGTGAATGGGAATATTATTTAGCACATGTAGAAACCAGTTTGGCTGCCTGACCAGCAGCGTCTGCAGTTTTCAATCAGATCTAGCATGAACAAAAAACAAGATGACATCAGTCCTCAGCTCAAGGCTTCAGAATAACAGTTTACAGACAAACAGATGTCACAGATGGGAGTAGCCATCTTTTATATACAGTCTAAGTGAATGATCAGTGTTAAAGCCACATTCAGATCTAAAGAAACCGTCTGAATTAAGCTCCTTTAAAACGCAGATGTTTGTCACATCTCTAACGGACAAAATGTAACTTTATTTAATACTACGCCGACTCATCCTACTACTAAAAAACCAATAATAATAATAAACTTTGTGGGCAGCACGGCGGTTAGCACTGTTGCCTCACAGCAAGACGGTCCTGAGTTCAACTCCACCATCAGGCCGAGTTCTCTCCGGGTACTCCGGCTTCCTCCCACACTCCAAAGACATGCAGTTAGTGGGGACAGGTTAATTAGAAACTCCTGGTATGAATGGGTGAGTGAACGGTTGTCTGTCTGTGACACACTGGTGAACCCAGCCTCTCACCCTATGATTAACTTGTATCTTTGGCTTTAAGCTATACGGGCTGACGTTACAGAAGCTTAAAGAGGAACAAAGCTCCACAAACAGCTTTATGTTCTTTAGGCACAGATAAAGAGGGAAAAGGGCTTCAGCTGCACTTTGTTATGTGGGGAGAATTCAGATTTCAGGTTGGCTTTAACATGGAAATGATTCTGCGTCAGTGACTCACTTCCTGCTGCTGCACTGTGACACAGTGTGAACTCATTACTTCATTATGCTCCACGATACAAAGACCGTAGTGACAGGAACATTTAGTTTGATGTCCAACAACAGAATCATTACTCTGAGCGACATTTATTATTTTACTGAATGCTGGTGATAACCCTGCATGTTTTTTACTGAACCATGTCACATTTTTCAAAGGCAAACCTACAATCTGAGGGGGCAGAAATTAAACTGCATCTCTATATACTTCCACCAAGGTCCGTAATTTGGCAGTAATACATGCAAATAGGTTGGAGTTGGCTGCCTGAATGTTAAAAAACATTTAAAATATTCCAGTTTTGAGGCTCACCAGAGGGCTTCATTTCTCCTTCAAAAAAGAACAATAAGGTCTTTGTTCCTAATTACTGTGATCGTGTTCGATTGTGATGTGTTTTTAGTAGCTTTTGGGCAGACGCAGCCTTTGGATATAAACAGCACAGTTAGTAATCGTCACAGCCGGCACCTGCTAACAAGTGTCCGCGCTCCTTAGCCTAGCCTTGCTTGCTTATGTCTTCATCCCACACACCTCCACTGTCATCCAGAAATAGCACACAGTGACTCGTCTCTGTGACGCTGTAATTACTCATGCTGGTTGCTCAGGCTAGCTGCTATACAGGCATAATGTTGCTGTGTTCACCATCTTGCTGCGGCAAATATTTTGGCCAAATATTGAGCCAAGATAAGTCGAGGGATCAACACATTTATCACCATCTGTCATGCAGACAAGTGTGAAAATGTTTGAATTTGAGTTTAACGTTTCATGAGATGTTTAAAATGAAACTAAAGAGAGTTTGCCCCGTCATATGTCAGAGATCGGTTGAGCCAGCTAGTGGAGGACTATGAAGCATGAGGATGTGAGAATATGTGATATAAAGCACAGCAAATCTAGTTTAACTCTCAGTGCATCGGATTTGTATTTGCATTTTGACCTTGTTACTTTCTGATAGGAGCTTTGCTTTAACTTTGTCATGAATATATTTCCAACAGAGTCAGTCCTACAGCACTACAAATGTTCACCATTAGCAGTAGAAATTCATTTTTATTTCAGTCTCCCCGGCTGAACAGCTCAGAAACTAAAAAGACACTACGAGCGCTGTCCATCACTCCCCCATCAGGAAGGTGATTTTTGGAGGACATTCTTTGTGTTGCTTTTCAAATCTCTGCAGTATTTCAACTACAGCTGAAGGAATCTGGGTTTGGCCTATTCTTTCCTTAAATGCAGAGATGCTCCGCTGGCCAACTCTAAGAGATTTTGGCTCTGGTCGTTGCCCAATGACTGTCCAAGTGTTTTATGAGGGGTGATAGGGAGGATGGGACTGCAGACTTTTAGAAAGGACAAAAGGAGCTCGTGCTTTATGTTGGGAAGAGGTTAGGAGGAAAATCCCTTCACGAATGCAATAGGAGACTACTCACCCGTAACAAACCTCTGTACAAAAAGTACAAAAAGCTATTACGTCCGCAAAAACAATGTGCTGTAAAAATGCCGAGCAGTGATGTAAAGGAATGCTACAGACATCCAAAATCCTTTGGTGTCAGTTGGTAAGGTCATGGCACTTTTGAAATGAAAAGGACTTTCATGGGGTGGGAAAGGAAGGAGTTTTACGGCCGAGGAAACTTACCAACCCATCGCAGTTGTTAATGGCAACCGAGGCCCCGGGGACGTCTGTGATGTCACCGGTAAAGGTGCAGTCTGTCTTGAGCAGCTCACGGCGCAGTATCCTCTCCGTGCCATTGGTGGATTCAGTCTGGTTGGCGCCCACGCTAGAATCGTTGCCAGCACTGCCGTTTCTGAATCCCGGGACCTCGTCGTGCCACTCCACCATCGCGCCAGGTGCCACCAGCCTGCTGTTCGGCCGCAGACGAAGGTGAAACTCCTTTCCGAAGGCAGTGATGTTGAAGAAAAGCCTCTGTTCAGTTTCACCGTTTTCAAGCACCTCCCTCTTAACACGCTGCTTGTGAGTGGCGGAGAGCAGGTGTGACAGGTAGTGTCCGTGGGAGTCGGTGCTGAAGGGGGTGACCAGGCCGTATTCTTTCAGCCGGCTCTTCAACTGGTCTGCAAAAAACCACAAGAACCCAGCAAAGTTAGTTTTTCCAAACAGCAATAAAACAATATCAAATTAGTCTTTTCCTCTAAACACATCAGTCAGCCATGGCCTGATTATGCTGCCTGCTCTAATCATCCTTTTATCACTTTTAGCCAACTAATGTTCCTCTGAGACAGGACGAGCTTTGACATTCATGGCAAACCTTTAAGAACACTTGGACTTGATTTCCTGTCAGCTAACATTTGGACCTTCATTTTTCTGTCTCTGCCAACTCAAAAACAAAATATTGGACTAACTGATTCACCACGTTTACCTTCTTAGTCCAACGAGAGAGAACTAGAACACCACAGCTGAGAGCCAGACTGACTAAGCTAAAACTCTCT